TTCAGTTCGGGTCTTGGGTCTGTTATTAGTTGGGTTGTAAAGGGATAATAGCGTTTGGGATCCTGAGATAAAAGCCACAAAGTCCAATTAACTTCAAATTAGATAATATTAATAGAAAACAAATTGCTCGAGGGAATAACGAGAAAGAGTTTAAAGTTTGAATATTTATAAGGAATATCAGTTTCATAGCATAGAAGGTGCAAAAGATAGTGATAACTTATAATCTTAAACTTTTATCATCAGACATGCCGTATACCTTATTATACTTATTTTATTTACTTTATGCTATATATATTACAAATATTATTATAGAACAAACATACTGAACTGTAAACTTTAGTGATACTGATTTAATACTGAATAAATATCTTTATTATTATTTCCCTAATTTATGGTATGGAAACAAAAATGTGTTATAATAGTTCTTTTATACCTATATTCTTGTATAGACAAACACATATACATCGCCGTTGGTATTGCTGGACGATTTTTGGCCATATTTTTTTTATAAAAGATGTTATTATGATGTTAGAAAAATTATATTTGTTCTTTCTTACTACGTGTCAAATATGCTGTTAGTTGGCTTTATTATACAATCCGATATTTGAGAGTTTATTTTATAACATGTAAAAATTTCTCACTACAATATGGACTAATATAAAAATAAACATCTTCACTGTATATGCACATTTTTAAAATTATACAGATGTATTGTTACATTAGTAAGTATAATAATAATAAATTTATAAAGCCACAATCACATACATGTCTTAAATCATTTTCATAAACAATTTTTTCATAGAACAAGGGACAAATGAGCCTGGCGACCTGATGCTGAGTGATTACCGCCGCCCATGAGCACCCGCAACACCAGGGGAATTGCATTGTAATTAATTAATTTATGTTTGTATGTGCATGGGAACTGAACTAGGCACAAAGCCTATATCTCAATAGACCAGAACTCTCCCCTCGGTTATGCGATTTTAAATAGGTTTATACAATAAGGTCTTACCATAATCTTATCTTGTCATGTTATTTATATAATTCCTAGGTTATATTTGTTACGGACGATAAAGCAATATACTTGTTATCTCCGTAAGACAAGAAATGTTGATAACTCCCAGTATAATTCCTGTTTGATTTTATTACATTAAAAATTTACACTTCCATCATTGCAGTGTAGTGTAGTGTAGAATCCAATCATCACACAAATTAAAGTCACGTTGTCAGGGAATATATTGATTCAGTATATGGTCAGTCAATAAAAGCACAAAGCTTTGTGAAACAACAATAGTTAACTTTCATCATTACTATCTGTGTAGTAGTGATTTTATTGATGCTATAAACATCGCGTGTTATTAACAATAACACAGCAATTCAATATAAAAGCTATAAAGTTATTAATTGAGTATTGTTTTATAAGACTTTTAAATTAATTATATTTGTTACACAAAAGATCTTCCATTCGCATGAAGTGAGGTCTGCTGTAGAAGTGCAGTATTTCGTAATATCTGAAAAATGTTGAATAATTGTTCTGTTATATTTGGAAATCTTTAGTGTTCAGTTAAGTATGTGAGAATTGTAATCCGTACAAAATTCATACTAAACAATTCTGATAATCAGAGAACAATTACAGTAATTGTTTAGTTTTTGTAGTGATAATGCGTAATATACAAAATTAAACATATTTGATTGTTCAACAACTATGGCATGAACAATCACTAATTAGCTTAATTTTTTTAGTTTCTTATTTACATTACTTCTTTCTTCATTTTTATTCCATAAAAAGTGTTCATTTATTTGTATTTGAGACCTACTAAAATATCACAATATGAATTCATTATTATTATTAATTCATATTGTGATATTTTAGTAGGTCACGTATTTCACACGTCAGACTAAGACAGAAAATTAGGAATTCGTTATTACTACGAACGAGCTAAAAATATTATCAGAAACTAAACATAAAAAAGATTGTATCCAATTCTTAGTTATTACTAAGCGTGCATTCTTATTTGTAAGATTGAGTGAAAGATACGTGTAGATGTACACAACGAGAGACAAACTCAATTATAATTTTATATACGGTTAACTCACGATGTGGAAGTGTAACATTTTTTACTTTATACTCATTTCGCAGTCCATGGCATCGATGCAAGATTATAAATTTAAACAGACGAGAAGCTATGCATTTTAGTTAATGGGCACATGAAATTATTAGAACATTCATTTGGTACTTCTGCCTGGAAAAAATCTGGAGGTCTTGAAAATGGTTAATTGTATATGTTTCAAATTCTTTTACGCTCGCGCTGCTAAATAGGAAAAATAGCGTCTAAAAGTAGTTTATTTTCTATAGTTAGCATGTCTTTTTCTAAAATTATATTATCACAGTACGAGGACGAAAATGTCTGACACAGTGTCAAAAATAGACCAGCAGAAGTTGCGATCGGCTGGTCACATGATGCGTGACACAAGGGCAAAATGGAGTAAAAGAACAACGAAATAACGTAACTGACACGGAAAGAGAAAGAGGAGTAAACAGTCAATGAAATGGGAAGATGAATTGAAGTCAATTGTGGGCACAAAATAAAAAGTGGCGCGTGACAGAAATCAATGGAAGTTGTTGGAGGAGGCCAGAAGTCACACTGAAATCAAGGATTTACTGTAAAGATATATATGTATTTTAATTAAAAATAATTGTACAGAATAAAGAGCGTTATTATTAGTATATATTATCACAGTAAATATTCCGATATATAATGTGCTATAGAATTAGTCAACAGATCCGCACACTTTTCACAAATATTTCACCAAATATTTACGCCTAAATAAGCGTCCGAATAAAAATCTCTCTCATAGCCAGTCGGGTGAAAAGACTAGTATCTTTTCGTTCTAACGCAATACGAGTATCATATTCTTCTACATAATAGTACAAAAATTTCCATTACCTTTTATATTGAAGCGTGCTTTGAATTTCATTACGAGTAGATAAATATTTTAAGAGTACATAATGGATTCCTATTAAACCTCTTTTAAAAAACTGTTAAGCATTTATAGGGAATTCACTACCCCATAAACCAAGGGAATGTCCAAACATTATGGCCATCTTCCAAGTGTCGCCTGAAGAATTTATTTACTTATGGCCTTTATTGGCCACTTAAAGTATATGGTGCAAAAGACAGACTTATTGCTAAATAACATTCCTCTCTCAGAGAAGAACATAATGACTGGTGTGTGATCTTTAGAATAGAATATCAGAATAATCGAACTTTACTAGTCGTTTCAGTATTTTTTATTAATCAAGAAGTTCCATATACCACATAGACTAAAAATAAAACTGTTAATGTATTATTTATTATTCAAACCAATATAAGCCATTCAATAATGATACAGAGTATAAAGTTGTATAATATACTTGTACTAATACATAAAAATCCAATATAAAGGCATAGTAAAAAGTTAAACGAACCAAAAGTCAACTGGAAAAATCTTTGAAACAGAACGACTTTCCCAAGAAAAAGCAAAGCGGAAAATAAATATAAATTTTAAAATCATACTACATATGTAGTATGACAATAAAAAAAACTATATTCAAATTTATACCTTATTTCTTGATAAAAATGGTTCAGTTTAAAGTACTCTACCGGGATTTTGGTTCACATACCCTTTACAACTAACCCTGTATGAGTATAGAAGCCTACGGCGTTCGAATCCCTCTACTTACTCCGTAAGGAATTTAGCGTGACGATAACAAGCGTTATCTCAGCGAGATCGAAGTCATAACGGATTTTTATTTTTTTATAACACAGTGCCATATTAACAGTATATTTTACGAAAGTGTACGTTTACAGTCGAAAAAGCAAGTCATCTAGTATTTCACATAAGAATCCGATAAGAAACTAGTGTTATTCTAAATATAGAATAGCTTAAAATAAAATATAAATGCATCAATTCTAATATAATAAATGTGAAAGTTTGTATGTTTTCTACGTTTTCGCATTTAAACGGCTGGATGGAATTTAATGAAATTTGGTACATAGTTAGATCTCACCCTATTAATAACTATATATGTGTCAACTAATTTATTGGTGCAGGAATCATTGGGCATATTTAAATGTAACTTGGTACGACGATCTCATAGATATATTAAATTAACAAACATATTACTTTTAGCATTGGGGACAAATGCACCGGCAACATCATGTATAGTTTATTAAATTAATAGTATGATGTAGTACTGATCTCCCATATAGTTCAATGTATGTAGTTTTACAATATCTTTGGTGACATCACTTACTTTATTTAAATAATTATATCTGTTATATATTAAATTTACCTATATTCATAGATACATACACAGACATAATATTTTTATTTTAATATTAAAACTGTAATGCCACTTAATTTAATTAAATATATTTTAAACTGAATTAAATCTAGCTACTAAACAAAAATGACAAGACAGCTCTTATCTTTTTAATCACTCATACTGTCGTATTTGATTTCAAGCCTTGTTAGTGGAAACTTACAGGCGCCTAACACCCCGGCTCTATGAAGAATGCTCACTGTGTGCGTTGATGTCTTTTGTATACACACAATTTAATGCGCCGTGTTCGCTCTTTGTTGCCGCTATCTAATCTATTATCTTACTTCAACAACATTTCTCGAGAATATCTCACTAGTTTCAGACGCATAAAAGCTCTTTTAAGTGCTAAAAAACCAATAAGTGGCACACAGCTAATTAAAACCTCGTTCTACAGATAAGTACTATCTCGACGAGATATCCATTAGATTGGTTGGACATTGTAAACGAAAAACAGGTCCCGCATCGCGAAACTTAACTTTTCGACCGTACAAGTGATGTGTTACTAACATACTTCTGTTAACATAAAAATACGATTTTACACCGTTGCGAATGATAGAAACACGTTTATTGTTAAATCGGTATTTCTGAATCGATAGTACGAGAAAACGATTATCAGAGAAGTTACAACACTTACCTGGTTATATTAAAAGTATTAAATCCCAGCACAAGTGCACAACACTTTTAAATATAGAACAACGAATTAGGGTTGCGCCACGCACGTGTCGATATTTCGTTGGGGCAGTGCGATCGCGACGTACTGTCAGAGCGGGCCGCGAGAGACTGGCGCGCCGGCGCGTCTGCTCGCACCTGCCGCCCGGCCCCCGCGGTTAGTGACAGGTGGAAAGGCGTATCGACATCGATAGTCGACACATCCTTATACAGATTCAATACGGAAATCTCTTACCTTACAAGTTACTTTTCGGTTGCCTTTTTTCTTTTTATCACGAGTTATATTTAACAATTGTATGCGAATGATGTGGTTGCATACATCTTTAATATTATACATTTCTTTCGGCCGCAAAATACAAACTGCTTTTGTAATGAGCTATCAAATCTTACCTATGGTTTTATTATGTACATAATTGGAAGGTTGAAAATATATTGTAAGACACAGATAACTCATAACATAAACATAAGTAGCACCACAAATATAACGTGGTTAAGTGACTGCCATGATACTTCTCATGCCGTTCCGTAGCACTAAGGTAGCGGTACATCGGTACCCTAGTATAGTGAGAATAAAAAAATGGTAGATGGAATGGATGGTATGTATAGGTAAAACGTAGCAGCGATATTTCAGGATACGAATAACTATCCTTCAAGCGATGTATAAGTACACAATAAATTTTGTTGTGTCCATTTTGGGTGTTAAGACCTCCTCTGTAGGCTCAATATTGTGTACTATGAGTTATTTTATTGTATCTTGTTAAAAAGCATTATTTAAATAAATATTTACGCCAAACATTATAGAAATTCGAGTAGTACATATTACTTCTGTCACTTTCATGTTAGTATAGTAATTAAAAAACAGACTACAGCAACCATGCCGTAGACATTGGCATAGATACCATGCCAATATGCAATTCTATGTCAATATTAGGGGAAACACATGTAATCATAATAATGACAGGATAATTCACAACCAAAGTCAAATTAGGTAAAGCAAAATGTAATTTTGTCTGTATACTGTCCTTTATTGTTATTTTAACGATAAAAATGATATTTAAATTTAAATATAAATATTGTTATTCCTTTGGTGTTTAAAAGAAAAGTGAAAGAGGAAATGTTTACTAAAAATAAAATACAATACTATAGGCTCTAATTAAATTAGCTATGTTAATTAAAAATTTTTGTTGTCATAACCATATATTTTATATAATATACTAACAACACGTTCAGAACAATACCCACAATTTTACTCAGAAAAGTATAAATATATATATTCCAACTTGTTTATTAACACACAAAAATAACAAGCTTTCTTAACCCAGATTATTATTAGTTATTTAATATAATTAATTGGAACTTTATATTCAATATAACATCAATAGATGTTATTACATAAAGAGGGACACAAATTACGAAAAATAGGTTATGTTTATTATAATAATAACATTCACACAATGCCATCTAGTCGCAAGTTATAGAGAGTTTGTTATGGGTACTAGACAACTGATAGAATTATTTGAATACATATTTCTGATATACACATAACGTACATACAAAATATACATGTCAATACAAAACTCGTACTTACGAGTATAAATATTTGCATCGTGCGAGTAATCGAACCCGCAACCATTGGAAGTTAAGCGATGTGTTAAACCGCTAGACCACCGAAGCCGTCAGATCATATATTATTGAACACCATGTTATCTAATATGTTTAGGAAGTTGAATTTACATTATATAAATTCTACACAATTTGGATTTTTAGTGTAAAGCGGCATCGCTAACTAACTTTGTACAGGAAAACCGTTTACACTTAATTGTATCAATTAAGCGTGTATATCAACCCGAAAACTTGTTTGTAAGTAATAAAAAAATGTTTGAACATTTAAATTGTATAGAATATTAAAATGTATCAATAATTTATCATTGACTATCTACTCTATTTGAAGTCAAGCGCATGGAACAGAAAGTAAGACATTAACCCAACTAACTCGCACATAAATAAGTACCTACTCGATAATTATTTGTAATGAATATCATTCGATCAATGATTACGGACGATCATTTTATCGAAACCGCGAAAGCAATGTATGGAACCGCACTAACCACGTAGGAACAGCGTACACCGACTGATCAAATTAATTACCTCATCTCGCCGCGACGCTCTCGATCGAAAAACTCACCTCACTCTTTCACTCGCAAAAAAACTCGAAAGTTTAGTGATGCAATTGAAGTGACATTTATTAGTAGATCGTTAATCGAATTACTCTAAATCGAACTATTGATATTTTTAAATTAAAAAGTTTTACCATTGCTAATAAGGAATTGTAATACAAGATGGTAATAATTATTAGATACATATACATGTATATGGTTAGAACTATGAGCTGTGACTGTAATACATTAAATACTAGCGGCCCATCCCGGTTTCGCCCGAATGCATTCCAAATCTTTAAATTTCTCGGCTTGTTCTATACTATAACACGCATATGTTATTCATATAAAACTTCCTCTTGTATCACTCTTATCTATTGCTGAAAACCGTATTAAAATTCGTTGCGTAGTTTAGAAGATTTATGCGAACAAACAGTGGAAGTGACTTCATTTTATACTATGTAAAGATTCTTAAAGAACAAGTTGTAGATAGGTAAGTAAGTAAGGAAAGTAGCAATCAAGTATGCGGCCCATATGATGGTAAAAGGTTAAGGCCTGAATCACCAACGAAGTGATGTGCACAGTACCGACCTAGAGGAAACATTAATACATATACCTACCCTTCTTGAAATAACTCATGTGGCAATCTCCCTACGTGGAAATTTCAGTCACACCTATTTCAGCCGCCAAGCAGTGCTTAGTAAGCTGCTTCAGTTGAACTGAGTTAAGGCAGACAATTTATAGAACAATAAGAGTAACATTTTAGTTCTCATGAATGCCAACATATGAGCAATATCATGGTCGTCATAATAACGTGAAATCCGTAATGCTATTCATGTATATAGGAAATACTTACCACTTACCATCGATTGTTGTACTATTACAATTGCATAAAAGATTTCAAAATTATCTGTAGGTTTATGGATGTTTGAAACTATATTTACTAATCTATTGTAACAAGATTCCCGTAACATTCATTGTGTGTTTAATTATAAAAATCTACTTCAAATTTATATACATATGTACCTTATATTATACATCGTTATTTATATAATATAATAATTGTTATTTATATTATATTTAGTTACACAACCACTTGGTTTATTTATTATTTTCACTATAATGATTTAGTGTGTATATATGTATTTACACATTTCAACTAAAAAATTTAAAGTTAAGAGCAACGCACGAGTTTAGTTTCTAGCTCGTTCTTCTTGTGATGAAGCAGCTTTCCAAATAAGCGCTACATTAAAAAAATAAGTAATGACTATTCAAAACTGCATAAAGACCAGTTTATTTGAATAAAGTATTTTCCAATCCATTCTATAATTTTTTATTCGATTGTATCAGTTCTACATTATTCGATTAACAACACAAATAAGCATCACAGTTACATCTCTACAGGTATATCTGTCTCGTTTTCGTTAATATAAAAAATGGTTAGAACGCGTGCCGAATGTAAAGCGGAGGTTTCACCTGTACTTGTGAATGAACGGTCGGTCCCGTTTGATGTATGGTACAGTCGGCCATATTTTAACGTAAAACTCTAGTGAACCTTATTACCTTGCATTAGAGCAGTAAATGGTATGCCTGAATATTATATTGATTACAGATAATTGATATAAATAATTTAAGAATGAAATATGATAAATCTTCAATAACACCTAAAAGTGCAAAAATATAAAAAGAGTATAATAATAATCTGTAAATTAAAAATTTAAAAATATTTATTTCAACTTGAAATTTCCATCTGGCCAATACTTAAACATGGAGACTTCAATTTCACTTAAATATATATGACAATTAAATTTTATAATATAAAACATTCAAAATAAATTATATTACATTTATATTTAAAAACTACACTGACATTTCATATCAAATCCGAATTTAAATATTCAAATTAATTATACTAAAAAGGAACACTGTTAGTATCTTGGGTATTTTTAGAAATGTAACTATTTGTAGTTAAAAAAAATATGCTTTAATACATTATTTTTGAAAACATTATTTACATGTTGCAATAACAGGTGTTACGTAAATATATTATTTCTAGGACCAATTTAGCTTTAAATTATGAATTCTCTGTTTCTTTGAACCTGTAAAGAAAAAAATAACAAGAATGTATATAATGAAAATAACTATTTAGGCTGATGTACTTTGCTAGGTTATTTAGCCCCATTGATGAACAGTCACATAATGAAGAATCACTATCAAATACAGAGCAATAACAGAAACCCAAATTAGTTAAGAACCTTCTTAAAATGTATTTAAAATGGCTGTTAAATTTTACTTTTACTCTTACACCCTTCAAACTGGACAGATTAATGAAATATGCTTCTTTATACATTTTGAATCATGTATAAGAAAGGCTGTGTAAATTATCCATTGTTAAAAAAATATTTCAATAAATTATTAGGAGTGCTGCCAATTGCTAAACCTATTTTATTATAATACAACACAAAGTACATTAACACACCAGAGTTCAAGAGCCAACAACACCCAATTCTAGCTTCACCAAAATCTTACTTTATGGTACAGAGACAACATCATAGGTTACAAGACTAAACTGTATAAGCGGTACTGAGATGCAGTCTGTTACTTTCTAACATATCGCACATTTCATGTTTACAATTTCCAAGATAAATATTAAATTGAAAAATACATACTTGCAGGATGTACATGTGTAAAATACTGTCTGGCCTTCATCAGCGGATCGCAACTGCAATGTCGCATATGACATTCTTTCATTGCCACACTTCGGACATTTCCTCTCAACCACTGGACCCTCAGGGTTGTCCATGTTAATTATATCCTTGTTCGTCACAGCAGATACTGTATTGAAGTCTATTGTGTATTCAAACTTGAGGTTGTTATAATCTGTAATTTAAATATATATATATTTCATTTCTTTGAGAAAGCTAAAAAAAGCTAAAGCTAAGGTTGTTTAAATAAATTATCATAATTGAAGTCATTATTATCAATGTTAAATATTATACTGGATAATTTTTGTATAATAGCATATCTTTAATGCCATTATAATATAATTGCATCTATTTTCTCATTAACCAGTAGTACATAGTTTCAGAAAAGACAAGATTTTATATTTACTTAATTTCAATTCTGTATCTACTGCTACTGAAAATTAACACACATAGAAAAATATGATAGTAATCTAATATTTTTAAATTATCTTACTTTCAGCTCCATAAATAGCTTTACAGGTATAACACTTCACAGATCCAAATTCTTTGAGTAGCGGCAAAATTGAACCACACCTGGCACAAAATGCTGTGCTACTGGAAAAGTAACCCATTTCTGCCATTCTGTGGAAAATGGAATCTATATATTAAACTAGTATAGACCAGAAGTAGACTAAAAAGTTGTCTACATGGGTACCCCAGTTTCTCCTAATTTATTTCAACAGTTTGTTTTCTAAACTGTGTTTCAGTAGTGGGGTGCAGATTAGATAGAGAAATTATAGATTAAAAAGCATGACTTTTTTTATTTATTATTCAATATTGCAATACTATTACAGACAATCAAATTGTTGTTGCAACTCAGTAAAGTATATAAATTTATAATTGATAACACAATTTAAGCATTTTAAAAATTACAAGATAATTTTGATATCTTAATCCTCTGGAATGCCAATGGAATGATGCTACGTCTGAGCTAACATCATATACTGGCGGGACACCAGATCATGGTCTCCTCATGGTTAAGTCAGTGAGCCTATTGTGGCAAATTCACCAAGAATTTATCACATGATAATGTAATGTCCACAGTGCACACATATATGTATATGTATATAGGTGATGGTTACTGCTTACTCTAAGATAGCCATGGATAATCGCCGTTACTGCGTAGTAGTAATAGTCCGTGTATTTACAAAAAAAAGTGTCAATAATGCGAGACATACCACAATTTTATACAAAATTTTTTCAACAGCAGAATATTTTTTTAAAGATTGAATAACAAACATACATTATAAAATATAACCTTCACAAAATTTACATTTGTCTTTCAAACTTTCATCAAATAGGTCACTTTATGACTGAATGTGCGCTGTAAATTACCTTAGTCTAGCTGATATTTAATCTGTTCTCAAATTCAGCGGGAAGTGTTGGATAGTTAGATAAATAACTTCAAACAAACCGGAACAAGATAACCCTTAGAATTTAAAAATTATTTGTTTTGGAAAATCACAAAATTATAGATATAATAAAAACAAAATTTAGTTAATTAAAAGAAAGTAAAACATCAGGCCGAATGAAAGTGAAATCTAAAAATTAGAAATCACAAAATATAAACAAATAAAAATTTTAGAATTCGAACACATTTGTTTGACATTTAGCAAAATGTAAATGACGAAACGTTTGACAGCATTAAGCCTGACATTGACAATATGAAGCACAGATTAGAAAGACAATAGGAAGCTGTCGCAAGACAACGCTCACCAACAATGTAGCAATAATATTTTTATAAATTATATTAATGGCAAAAAATAATACATATTTTTTGCCATTTAGGCTGTCTCGAAGGCACCTACGTATACATTTTAACTAGTTTATACTCTGTCTTGCAAACATTAATGTACCATCTTCCTCTTTTGTTATATAAGAATAAGATAGCCTATATTCTGTTCTCGCGGTACTTACAATATATTTTTGCGCCAATTTTTAGTAAAATCAGTTCAAACATTTAATTTTGAAAAGCAAATAAACAATCTCGCCATTTACGGTCATTTGTCCAAGTTATCCAATCTGTGCATTGCCTGTCAGTAGTCACAATTTATAGTCTGTGATACTTCTATTGTCATTACTCTGTATTCTTGTCTTGAGAAGTTATTTTACTCAGCGTCAGTATTATTCTTCTAATTTACTAATTAATTTATAATTTAATTTTAGAACTTTCACGATAATAACGCATAAATGCACTTACTGTTTATTTTATGAGTGAAACACATTACAAAGTAGTCGAAAATAGTAACAAGGATTTAGCTTCATTTAGAGCCGGTATCCAATTGCAATGTTTATCAACACAATTTCTAAATAATGTATTTTCATTGTAAACATGATTAACAGAAATATTTATTCCAGAGTGCCAAAATGGACGAGGCAATGGAAACATCAGATTTGAGTTTTCCTCAAACATCACAGCCAATTACTGATAACCCAACTATAGAAGGCACAGCACCAGTCACTGTTGGTCCACAAAGTGGCAAACACGAGGAGTTTTCAGTTGAAAAAGTTTTAGACAGAAGAATTAAAAATGGAAAAGTTGAATATTTATTGAAATGGAAAGGTTACTCAAAGTAAGTTACAATATTTATGTTTGTATGGCATGTCTCCTTTATTTATATATCCACGATATACCCGCCCCGGCTTCGCACGGGTGTGAGTATTGTATATAAAAAACTATATACTGTCTTAAATTTGATATGGTCATTATTTATATTTTTATTGAGTAAAAATCGGGAACTCAATTAAAATAGAACATGTTAAGATGCCGTGATTTTTACTAATTCTATTTATAAAGCATTCTCTTGAATCACTCTCTCTATTACTAAAAACTGCACTGAAATTAATTCCATAGTTTAAAAGATCTAAAGCGAACAGACAAGGGAAGTGACTTTATTTTATACTGTGTAAGGCTACTAATATTATAACTGTGAAAATGTGTAACTAAGTCTGTTCTTTACCTTTGAATGACAGTTTAACAGATCTTAAAGAAGTTTGATTTGGAGATATATTATATCATAATAATAGCATAGGCTTTTATTTTAAAAATAAGTAAAAAATTATACAATTTGTGACAATTTTTCTATGTCACTGGAATGGCAATAAAATGGTGGTTAATGGTGTAATTGTTACCTCATAATTTTGGGACCTCAAGAAAACCTTAATGTATTGCTATTGATATTCAATGGTATATATATCTTACCTTTCACACTGAAACAGAGTTGACAAAACAAGTTAAATCGCAATTGTAACAAGTTCTCAGACCCAACTCTCCACATTCCAAACCAAACAGTAAGACAGGTGTTTCTATCTAATAAATAAAATAATATATAATTACATATCATGTGTTTTTATACTTCTTAGAATCCCTGGAGGATTATTATAAAATTTAAATTCATTATCATTATGTTACATGGAATTGATGACAAACACACAACTGCTTATTTCATGAATTTTTACAACATTTTTATACCTTTTCATCAATTTGATTAAAAATTATTAACATTGTAAAAAAATCATGAAACAAATTGTTATTGCATCTAGACTTCTAGAGTTATGGCTAATTGTACACTGCATAGACTGAAGTTACTTGCTAGATTTAACAATTATAATTTGCCTAATTTTAGTGAAGACAATACATGGGAACCAGAAGATAATCTTGACTGCCCTGAACTGATTTCTGCATATGAGGAAGCTCGATTAAAGCGGGAAAGGGAAGCTGCTGCCCCTGTAGTTGTAGAAACTCCGCCAGAAGAAAATCAGAGTGTTCGCGAACGAACAAACAAACGAGGCCGGCGAAATGAGAAAAAATCTAAAAAGTTTGAAGTAAGCTCCAATCCTTTAAAAGGTTGAATCTAATAAAAATAACGTACTACAATTCGTACAGCCCCATTTGGTCTAAAAGATATAAAATATTTCTTAAGTACAATACATTCTTATTTGTGTACATACAAAATCCCCACAAACACCACACACACCAACCACACCACACACACCAACCACACCACACACACAGTACCACCAACCACATTTATGAATACAACCACAATCCAAGACAACAGAAGTAAGAAGGTCTCCTAAAACAATATAAGGATGTCACTTCTTTTATATATTACAGGAATGCACTGCATAAAACAACATGACATTATGAGGATCAAGGAATAATAATTATCTGTAAAAGGCGACAAATAATACATTGTATTATTAACTGAACTTTCTATCTGTATTCATAATAATCCTCATATATTCTCTTTGCTAGACATAAAATGTACACATGCTGTATATATTATACAAATATTTACAGGAAATTGAAAAACCTAGGGGGCTGGATAGAGGCCTTGTCCCAGAGAGGATCTTTGCTGCTCAACTGCACCATGAAGTTCTATATTTTCTGGTAAAATGGTAAGTTAAATATTTGTTATAGCTCATATACAAATAGTATTTTTAGCATCAATCAGATTGCGTATGTGTTATGCTACATATCATATTGATATTTTTCAATAGTGTCCTAAAATATATTGTTATCAATTCACAATTATATGGTTCGCAGTTGCAAAATGTATCTTCTATATTGTGTTATATCTATGATGTATATATTAATAGGTGATGTTAAGGGGTGTCCCAGTTCAGTTTACGGTGTCTGTGATGATGTTATGTCTAGCAATAGTTACGTAATTTCAATGCCAAACAAAAAAACGGTACACCTAATGGTTAGCTGAAACAGTCGCCTATATACACAAACTAGGACATCATGTAATAATGTGACACCGCGATTTGTGATGCCACTCAACCAATGGCATTCAAGTTTAATGAGATCATCATCGTATTCTTTTATCGTAAATAGGTGAGACACAAGTAACTTTTTATAGTCTACCTCTGGTAAATTCTCGCTTTGTACATCGTAAACCAATTTAATTGGTATTGAAGTAAACGTCTTTAAAAAAAATGTTACCAGTGGTTATTACTTATATTATGTTTTTTTTTCAGGCAAGACTGTTTAGAGTTGGACGTAGTTCCAGGTAAAGATTTAAGCCGGGCGTTTCCTGAATTCGTCATCGCATATTACGAGAGTTGTGCGCCGTTTTCTGTTCGACATAAAGTAGGAAGAATTCCAAGGCTGGCGCCAGAGGTGATTATTTAATAATAATATGTTTTTTACTTGCTTATGTTAACGCTACCCGTGGCTTATATACATGAACAACTCTACAGATGCTATACAGATCTATGTTGAATTCTTAGGCATAATTTAAAATTTGATTTTACTGAATAAGAAACAACAGTGCATGATAATGGTATATAACTATACACGTTTATATTTTTTCATTAATAATCAAGTTTATTTTTTTAGCTTCCTTTGGATCCTTCCTCCCAAGAGAGCGAAACACCAATGAATGTTTCTCAAAGCGAAGACAACGCTATTTCAACGAGTCCGTCACGAGGTAAATAGAAAGACTACATTCTATTGCTTATCTAACTAATGCAGCTAACAAACTGACGAGCGTAACTTATGGTGAGCGTTAACCGTCGCGTATATGAATGAACAACTCAGCAAATCATGTCGTCCTGACATCATACATTAATTATTAAAAAATATTTTCTATATCCCATAATATTATAACCCAGCATAATTCACATAGCGCCATCTAGTTACCCACGCCACCAAGTTAAACAGAGCTTACCTTAGGGTTCTGAACAATGGATAGATTTGCTTTTATTAATTTTTGTAGTAGCGTGTGGGATTGGTTGCACTTTATAAAGATAAATATGGTTATATTACAATCTCATGAAACTGTATACTACAGGTAAATTTTATTCTATAGTTAGTTATTTGTAGAGGTGCCTATGCTATATTATATATATTTCTGTGTTTCTATATATATTTCTGCTGTACTGTTTCTATTTTTGTGATATAAGGCTTAACATTAAGATGTCATGACTGTGTACACCTTAGCTTTCTCTATTAAATTCGTAGTGTTCCTCATATGTGTATATAAATAATCTAGTTATTGTAACATGTTACAGAATAATTTTGTGCAATCTCTCCTTATCAAATAACAACACTAATCCATTGGACAGGTTTGACTAAATCTGATATCAGTTAAAATAGTTTTTAATTTATTTATTGTACTTTTTTTCAGCTGATAATCCACAAGAGCCACTGCCAACGCCTGATGCGGAGACTCATGCAATGGAAGTTCCTGTGAATTGACAATTGTTTTACAACACTGGTATCAGTGACTATTAATATTTATATAGTTTACCGTAGGTTATCTTATAAAAGTACATTTAAAAAAACGACTATATCTGATATATTTTTTCTATGTATTAATAAACGAGTAATTCAATGAAATTTATTAAAAAAAAAATCAATAAATGTTATGTATGTGTAATATGAGAAATTAATTAATATGACGGATTAATTTAAATTGTCCCAATATTGGATCAGTATTGTCAAGAAAATAATCACACTAATCACTATAGGCAGCCTATCTTCCACAAGCATAATAGACAACACTTTTTCTTACTCTGTACAAAAAGTGTTGACATAGAATAGAGCCCGCTCCGTCCCGACCACACTTTTACACACAAACACAACACCGTCCTCGCCGGCGAAGACGACGACTTCAAACACACAATTTTGCGCATTCAATCGGGCGCCTGCGCGCGCCCGGGTGCTTCACACCGATCGATCCCCCGTCCAATTCAAACGGGGATCGATATTACGACGGCCTGAGCCGAGGTTTGTACCGTATATCGTAGTGGTGCCCTCAAACTAAAGTCGTATCCGTCAGGCAGGAGTTGACCTTCCGCAGCTCCATATGTCCTTCCGCGGGTTTGGAGTGCCATCTGCACTCGCCCCATAACGTCCGGTGAAGCTGTAAAGGCCAGCTGCGGCGAACAGCATTAGAGTAGTCCGAAAAAAAATAGAATAGAGAATAGACAATCTATTCTATACTGCGTGACGTAATGTCTATGCCGTCATGGTACTGTGAAATCACTGTTCAATTGTTACTCAAATGAGTAATCGTGTAATAATTGTAATATGTTCTATGGAGAAATTTATATATTCTATAGAATGTGTATCTAAGTAGTAGTATAGTAAACAGTATATTATGTAGATACGATGAGTTTACATCAGACGACCTTCGTGGTCTAGAGGTTCAACACACCGCCTTACTTCCGATGGTCGCGGGTTCGATTCCTCGCATTGCACAAACATTTTATATACATGAGGATTGTTTGTGTCGTTCTGGGTGTTCTGTATGTATTTACGAAAAAAAAATCTATGTATTTGTATCAGTTATCTAGTACCCATATCACAAGCTTTAGTTTCATTTGGGTTTAGAGGGCTCTAGACCCAAATTAAACTAAAGCTTGTGATATGGCTGTGTGAATCTAAGATTATTCGATAATGTGTTCTAAGATTATTATATTTCATAATACAGCGGTAATGTCGAAATATAAATTCTTTAAAATCTCTAGATGTATACAATGGCCACTTCTTTTATATAGTAATAAATTCGTTATATTTATTTTTTTTATATGGAATCGAGGCACTAAAATTTATCAATGAATTATTTATGTACATAATTTGTAACACATTGTCAGCATGGTTCATTCATGCTTCAATAGTCATTAAAATGAATTTTCAAAATCATGTAGAATTGTACTTTTTCTGCAATAAAAAGTAAAATTTACAATGTCGTCTTTTATTTTTTTTTATTACTGCAATGGAATATAAGCCAAGGACCTGAAAGTGGTAAACGCTAAACTGTAAACTGTAAATATTGATTATATTTTTTTATACTATGTTGGTGGCAATTAGACATATTGCCTAACTGATGACTGATGGTAAACAGTTACCGCAGCCTATGCACGCCTGACACACCAGGGGTGGCAAGTTGCGGATCTATAAGCAATCTTAATATAAAAGCCTTCTTGAAAAACTCCAAGCTAGTCTCTTGAGAAAACCTTGACAGATAGTTCATTCCACAATCTAAGTGAAATCCTTTGAAACCGCACTGACCGAGACCATTTAGGTTCCAGCGAGTGGGGACGAAGTTCCTGTAGTTTCTATAAAAAAATATAAATTATTTTCACATTTCCACTCTGCTTCTTCGAGAAAGTATTTTAGTTATCATGATTATTAACTGGCCTTCGGTTTGATATATTACCGGGGTAATAAGGGGGTTATTACCCCGTAGAAATGTTTCTTAAGTTTTCAAATTATAGTAAAATATGTTTATACCCTTGATATGTAGTTAGTATATTTAAAAAAGTCAAAATATCAAATATAGGTGTATAATCATAATATAGGCAATAAAGTATTTATTAAAAAAAACAATTTATTATGTAATTAATTTTATTTATTTTTCATGTAGGAATTATCTTAAAATCTAATTAATCTATAAATATGTAAAAAAGTATAAACAATACTGGGCTACGTGTTAAGTACTAAGAGTATCTTACGCTTTGGTATGGTATCGTTGGAGATTTCGTAATGCATCGAGCAAACTTCTTGTACAAATATATGCGCAAGTTTTAACACAAAAGAAATTTCATTTTATCACATCATGTTTGACACAATAAGTATGGCTAACATTTATGTAAATGCTATTTAAGTACTAAATAAGTTCGGTACAATATGCAAATACATGTATAAATAGCGTTACAATAAACTACAAATGCACATACTAATTTTAAAATTGTTATCTCAAGTATAAATGGATTTGGTCAATATTCAGATCTACTCTTGAGTCGAATTCCAATAACGAGTTCGATCCAATTCAATTAAGAGAAAATCGAATATATTTATAATGTCAAGCACTACAGTTCATGGAGGACTTAGCTACGAAATATAAAATTATTATGTTGTCAGTGACACAAGAGTAGGAAAAAAGTACGAAATGGCACAAACCAATGTCGATCGAATGGATTTTTTTCAAAGAGTAGACCGAATTGAACAGGCGTCATATAGTCATTTTAAGAAGTTGTCGTTCAGTGTTGTTCTGCTTAAAGTTTATTAAGGAAAGGAGAGATGGACGCGAAATTCTCACATTCAGGAATCAATTTTCCTTTAAACTTGATGCATGATTCTGCGCATAGGGGCCCGTCAAACCAAGCTCCAAGCATCTTCTTGCATTGTGCGCAATTCTCTATGCAGATTTCCATGGGATCATATCCGGTGGCTGGAAAATAATGCAATATTGATTTAATTAGACGATATAGGTATTAAATGTCTAGGGATTAAATTAAAATTATTAAATGAAAATTATATAATTATATATAAAATATTTTTCAATGTTATCATTTCCAGACGAAAATATTAAAAGGTATTTTTTACCTACGTAATACGATCTTAGTGGTCTAGCGGTTTAGCACACCGTTTTACTTTCGATGGTCGCGGGTTCAATTCATCTTACGATGCAAACCTGTTCATGAGTATAATTGTATTGGTCTGGTGTTATATTATGTACTATATAATGTATGCAGTTTATAAAATGTATTTAAGTATTTATATCAGTTGATCAGTACCCATAACACAAGCTCTGTTTACCTTGGGCGGTATGAATTGTCTTAGGTAGTTATTATTATTATTATTTAACTAACATTGCCATGTAACAGGGAATGCAGACAATTTATTAACAATTTATACATATATTATACATACATTTAAAGAATATGTGGTACACCATATGAATTTAGGTAACATTGAAAAATTCACTAACGGCCGTGGTGCATACTTAATTCACCTATTATATTTTATAATCCATAGTATATACATAATCTAGCTAGGGTTGTAATAGTTGCAGTATTAACAGAATTTGAATCCATTAGAACCGGAAAAAGTTTTTGTATTGGTGTATAATAGCACTTATAGTTGGAAATTATCTTAAAATTTTTAATTCTATAAAAAAACTAAATTATTTAATAGTTATAGCAGGTTTATTAGACGTAACTATGATGACCAATAAAGCGGTTAATTTGTAAGATTATATGTAAAATTAAAAAATAATTGTAATTCGTTTTTACTATAGGTACAAAGAATAAATTAAGTACAGACGTCATAATGTTTTATACTTACTTTAAATAGTACATCTGGAGTAAATATTCATAGATATTATGTACAGATTTTTAAATGGAAGATAATAAAAGGCTGCACCTGCCTGCACTAACTGTATACAATAGGGCACCAGTAGAGAAAGTAGACGAGTCTGACATCAAGTCAGTTAACCCATCGTGAGAAATTCATTAGGAATCAGCCACGATGATTTTTAGTGGTATCATGTAGAGTTCAACCTGACATTTAGATTAGCTGCAATATGATACTTGTCTAACTACTCCGTTCCCGCCTTGATATAAAGTTTTTTTAATGAATGATAGTGGAATGGTACACCCACCTGAGCTAATGGTAAACGCTGGTGGGAGATCAGTGATAATTAACAAGTAGAGCACGACTGTACTGACTGACGACCATAGTGCTAAATTTTAAAGAAATTAACAGCGATTATTTTCAGAGGTACCATTTAGAAGTCGACATGACATTGACATTGACAGTAATAGGAGCTTAAATTAAATCCCATTACAATCATATAAATCATATCATAACAATCTCCTCCTCTATTATGTAGAGAATCGAAAGATCAAGCCATTAAACATTCTATGCATGACAGCCCTATTGTACTCAGTATCCATTGAGCGAACTGTCATCGCGAGGTCAAGTGTAAGCCACTAAGGTGAATTGCGTAACAATACACGGCGAAAGTAAACCGGCCAAATCGCCAATTGGGGTCATTGCCTCGGTTAACATGCGCGTCTTCGGTTACATATGAAGGCCCTTTTAGATATGAACAATATAAATTTATCAACGTAACAAGTGTTCTTTATATAAAATAAGTCTGGTCTGGAAAGAACACCTTTTGTTCTAAAGTTCTAAAATGTACCAGTTTTTGTGTAATTGGAATGACAAACATTCTGGCAGCCCATCTGATGTCTATATACATGAACAGTAGTAAATTCACTTACTTACTCACTTACTCACACTTCTCCATATTTTCCTATAGGGCTGAGACGCGGACTCTAAGGAAGGCTGACCGAAACCGCATTAATGCTTTTGATATGTGGTGCTGGAGGAAGATGCTGCAAATCTCATGGACTGGTTCCGCAGCAACACCTCTATTCTAAATCTTTACATCGAAAGCAGACTCTCCACATTATGACTTCGTAGAATATTAGAGTTGTTTGGCCACATCGCCCGAAAAGGAAGTCATAACCTGGAAGATTTGATGGTGACAGGTAGAGTGGATGGCAAAGGTCCTAGAGGGCGCAGCCACGCAAGATAGTCTGATTGAGTCAGTTCATCGCTGGACATAAAGTTCCATTATGCCTTCCTTACGCAAAATACCGATAGAGGTGAAGAGATGTAAAAGAATGAAATTCTGTGGAACTATCACGACCCTCAGGAATGAGGAACACGATTTGAGGAGGATACATGAACAGTATTACGGGTCTCCAAAAAAGCAATTTTGACGCTTATATGTTACCATTAGGTACTATGGATGTTACTAAGTTTTTGTGACGGAAGCATGATAACTCACAGTGATTATGCTTCCATGCATTAAATTGTAATTTCACAGCTATTTCTTAACTATACAACTTAAACACAGTTGTTGTATTAGGAGTGATCATTTCAGATCCTACTGAAATTATGAAGCTTACAAAAGACATGTAACCCAATTTGTATAAAAAAGACAACAAAAATTAATACAAATTAGGGAAAATATTGCGTAATAAACGTCCATAAGGCGATATCTTTAAACTTTTTATAAAACAATGCTTTAAATATACTTGTCTTGTAGTGTGTACACTAATTAAATTAGTATTTTAGTACATATCCACTATAATGTAATGCTACATTTATTATTGACACACTTAATTAACAGTTCGCAAATTCGGCGCAAATAATAACTTATAAAGGAAAAACTGACGTTTATTAATATTTACGCTAAACGTAGCGTGGATGCATTGATTCCACGTAATCGTTCAAACATTAATTTCAATGATAAATGAACTACGTTATTTTATTTATATCTATATATGATAGTTGAATGTAATAATGTAAAATGAACGTGCAAATAGTATAGTGGAATAGGATAAGTAGTTTTTATATTTATTCGTTACCTGAGTCAATTCAGGTAAAAAGTATCCTATGTACATATGATATGCCAAAATTGTAAAATAAGATACATAGAGGCTTGGTCACAAAGTTTATATCTGCCAAAAATCCGGTTTATATTACACAAAAACCAAAGTACGTACTAAGAAATATGAAATATTTTCATTTTTTCATAGCAAATTGATAATGTGACCGAGAAGCTTATATAAAAGTTTTAAAAATTATCTTTTATTTTCCACTTTGCTTCTTTTATAATGTTGTTCATTTACAATAATATGTATAATTTAAATAAAGATTATTTCTATCCTATTCAGATTGAATTCAAAGCCAGAAACTTCGAAACAAATTTGAAATTAAAATTTACTCGCATAAGTCGATTTCAGGTTTAATACAATTTCTCTCTTTTTACTTCAACTACTTAAACACATATTAATACATGTACCTAAGTGACAGTGTTTACCTCTACCAGGTAGTGAGAAAGAGGATTATTAGTAATGTGGACTGATGACTCCATTACTAGCAATATACCAGACTCCATTATTAACATTATGACATATTTCTGGTGATGTTATCATCAGAATAATCTCCACTGGTGCCTTCCCAGAATAGACTATCAGTACAGGTGGGTGAACCATTCTATTAACAACCATTAAAAAAAAACCTAGTGACCTAATTATGGTTGCATAATATGGGTCTGTCTGTTTATTTTACAAGTTTCATAAGCCTATTACACTTACCAATTGCAGGGTTGCATCTGACATGTCCGAAGTTGACTAATACTGCAATAATAGTGAATAGGGCGAGGGTGATTTTGAGTGCCATTTTAGTTTGGTCTGAAATAAAAGTGCATTTTGAAAATATTATTTAAGGAGACACACAAAATCTTAAGTCTGTATAGATTGAACATCATTTATTTAAAAGGTCAACATGAAAGGTTTTTGCTCGTTCTTCTTGCGCTGAGTTTGCTTTCCGACAGTGCGGTAGAATTCTAAAAGTGCTTACATTAATTTTATTTAAATAAAGATTATTCATATTTCCAAAAATATCCCTTCACGACTGACATTGAACATGGGGTAGCCAAAGACATTATCAACTGTCGACGTATAGGTGTGTTGAGTGCAATATTTATATTTCGTGTGTAGAATCGAATTTAACATAGCTACTTTTACGTTTTACCATCATTGAAGTGCTAAACACAAATATCTAATAATAATAAACCCGTTCTTGTTATCACTATAAAACTACTACCTATATGCTGTGAATTATGGAATAATAATAAAAAATTGTAACAATCTTAGATTGTGCTAAATAGTTAAGTTGTATGTAACTGTGAAAACATATTTGAACATGTAGGTATAATTGTACTAGTAATAGAACTAGTATAGAATTATGGTGTAACTGAGGACAAAGTTTTATGTCTGCCACCAAGCACCTTGCTATACTGTTTTTTGGTTTACAGAATGAGACACAGCAGTAAAATCACAGGGTACGGAGGTATGGTATCTTAGTCCTTCGGAATGACAAGGTATCAGCTACACACAAAAGTCCTCAAAGATTACTAGGGGTTAAACTCTTTGTTTTGCACAGAAAAGAAAATAACAAGAAAAACAGTAAGCAGGAAAGTCTTTTTGCTATAAGCAATCTTACAGTGAACCTGTAAGAGAGTTATGTATATAGAAAAGGTAATTGGTGCACACAAGGCACTATATGTTTAAAACGAATAAATAAATATACATATAAACTTACACATATGCATACATATACTACATATAGGAAGGTAGCAGAAAAAACAAGCTATAGACGTGATGTCTGTGCTGCTGTTCATATAGAAAATGTTTCGGTTACTACTTCTCACAAGATGGGCCGACAACTGATTTTCTATTTTAGTCTTTTTATTATATTTAATGGACGTTTTTGATATGTTTTTTATTATTTTTTTACACATTGCCGATATTAAATGCAATATAGGTAAAGTCGTCAAATATTAAATATAACATATATATGTAATTGCTGCTTGTGACTTAAAGTCGCTACACATTATTTCCCATCTACAAAGTAATATTTTATTCTTAAGAGACTTTCTATACCATATAATATAAATTACTTACTTTAATCTAATTTTATTTAGTTAATATGAGGTTCAAAATCTTTTTATAAATCGATGTTTTTTATTTAAATAACTTCTTCGTTAAAAATATTCAAAGGCTACAAAAATATTTAATTAATATAATCTACAGTGAGTATTATAGATAATATATAGTAAGTATTATAGTCATTCCCATATGGAATAAATTAAAAACATAAAAATTAATTACGAAAAAGCACATGCAAATCTATCTATGTAATGTTGTATTGTATCTTGTTTAAAAATTATTATCCTAACATAATTAAAATATGAACATAAATAAATATTTAGTAATAATATACTGATTAAATACTTACCCTATTTACTGAAGGCTGCATAAAGCTTTCTAAGCAACAGAAAATAAAACTAAACACAAAAATAACAATTTCAGTTATCACAAATTTATCAAACTTTAATGGCCTTATTCAACTTGTCACTACGTTAGCACTTAACGAGAACAGATAGACAAAGGAAAATCGTCTCATACGTCTGTAGATAAATGAAACTTGTTTAAATATGTAACGTGTTCATGCACGCGCAAGAACAAGGTGGGGGCGCGTGCCAGTAAGGGATACCAGAGGAAACGGATCTGTACTTTTGCGAAAGCCGAAAGTTCTAAGTAGGAAGTCCATAACTTTATGTTAGTGTTAACATGGATCTGATTTAAAATACAGCTACATATTATATTTAAAATTTATCTTCAATTATATGTTATCTCAAGATAATATAACGAAAAAGTGTACATATAAACGAAAGAAAATAAAGACATTCATTTTGGATTAATATTGACATTCGTATATAAGACAAGTGAGAGTTAAAGTCGTTTTCAAAGTGTAATGAAATATAGAAAAAGCATTAAACTTACTAAAAGTAATATCAAATAAAAAAAGTAATGTAATATCCAATTATGTTAAAAATTGTTTACTGTTATCACTTGTAGTGTGCTCTTGAGATTGACTAAAAGAATACAGAAAGATTAGTAATTTTAAAATATGTATAAAACAGTTAAAATGTCGTTATTTAAATTAAATACTTAAATATATACAAGATTTTTCTAGAACATTATAAATTAACATTTACTGAATCGTACGTGTGCCAGTATGTGTGTGTATAGTGCTTGCCAGAGCAGATCTTATTTATTACATGTCAAATAACTTATAAAATATTGTGTAAAGTTAGATGTAAGTGTAAATAAATTGTCAAATAGAAAGGACACCAGAATTTAAACAATGTCAAGGTTATATATAGTCCACATTTATCAACTAATACGGACAGAGGCAGTAGTTCAAGGTTTGCAAAATGTTATGTAAATTCATTCACAGAATTGGTTGCTAGATTTATACATTACGAAATTGGATAATGTGACATAATGGAAACACTTTTAGATATTGGTAGAATCTTTTCTTTTCTTTGTAGAATTTTGTTTTAATGACAATATTCAATAATTTCCACATAGAATGATAATTATCATTCTATTTCCAAATAATATATTTCTTTAAAGAAAAATAAACTATCTATGCTACTAAGATAGAAATAAGTAAACATTTCTAAAAATATTTTTTGCTTTAGTTTTTGGCTTCTGGAAAGGCCACTCTTATTTTTTTTTATTATCATTTGCGCATTATTGTACCCGAGGCCTATCTCGATTTCATACACCCAATGATAATTCTGTATTTTATATCCTGGTTTATGTCAACATTGTTTCGTAAAGTGAAAACCGAAAGTTGATGTCTGCATGTTACGTCTTTGAGACTGCCGAAATCGTAAATCGTATTCTAATCGACTTATATGCTCTGGAGTTCTTATATTTGCAATTTCTTTTCTCTCTAACTACTGTGCCAAAGTATGATCACAAATTATAGTTTAGATATTATATCTGAATTATGACATTGTATTTGTTAAATATTGAACTAAAGAGAACAGCAAAACACGTCCGTACTTTGATCTATTTATTTTCAAACAAAAAAGCAACTAACTGCCCTATTATAGTAATACGATTTATAGTACCTACATTACAATATTATTAGTATTTTGTTAATTAATAAATTAAATAATCATTTAAAATAAATATTGAATAATTTTAACTAGATATTACATTTTATATTAAATGATTACAAAGTCATATCCACAATATTCTTTAATGACTGGATCGCCTTCAGCGGTAGCTCGAGGCGCCTGAATGCTCATTTCATACACGGATGATACCTAGTGGTCAATTCAATAACCTTTTAATGGTGATTGTAAAGATTAAAATATCCGGGAGCTGTTTGATTGTTGAAGAGCTTTGTTCTTTTTGTCTATTATACAGTTAGGTTGAAAGTTAAGATTTTTTTTCTATTATATAACTGTGTCCAAAAAATAAGGTTACATTATATTTATTTAGAAAATTCCTTATTTATTTTTCCAAATCAATTTCATCCCCTTCAAAGTAATCCCCTCCCGATGCAATGCACTTATACCAACGGATTTTCCAATTTTCGAAACACTGATTGAAGTCACTTTCTGGGATGGCCTTCAGTTCCCTCTTCGCTGCGGCTTGAATCTCCTCTATTGTATCAAAACGGTGTCCCCGGAGCGGTCTTTTGAGCTTGCTGAACAGCCAGAAGTTGCACGGCGCCAGATCAGGTGAATAAGGTGGTTGAGGAACAATATGGGTTGAGGTTTTGGCGAAATGACCACGATATGGGATGGTGCATTATCGTGGTGTAAAAACCAAGAATTGTCTTTCCACAATTCCGGCCTTTTTAGGCGGATAGCGTTACGCAATCGACGCATGACGTTTAAATAATATTCCTTGTTGACTGTTTGGCCCGGTGGAAGGAATTCGTAATGCAAACACCACGATAATCGAAAAAAACAGTCAACATGACCTTTATTTTTGAGCGACTTTTTTTTTGTTTGTCTCCTTTGGCATATATTGATCAGTTGTTTCGGGGTCGTAAGCATAGATCCAAGTCTCGTCTCCAGTAATCATGCGTTTCATCTTGTCCTGATAGTCTGAAAGCATCGTTTCACACAATTCAACGCGACGCCTTTTTTCCAAAAAATTCAATGTTTTTGGTACCAGTCGAGATTTGACGCGTTTGAGGCACAAAACATCCTTTAAAATGGTATTGACAGAGCCTTTCGATATGCCAACCTCATCAGCAAGGTCTCTAATCGTTAATCGACGGTTTATCAATACCAAATCTTTGATTTGTTGGACGTGAGCTTCGTCAGTTGAGGTTGATGGTCGCACGTTCACGGCCGGCTTGGAACTCACTATACCACTTGTAAACATTTTTTTTAGACATAGCCTCATCACCAAAAGCTTTCTGCACCATCCTCAACGTATTTCATTCCGCAAACAAAATTTTATGCAAAATGTTTGCTAAACAAATTTCGACATCGCAAAAAACGAAAACCTCACTTTTAGCAGCTCACAAAACGATGCGTATCTCAAACACTAATTAATATTTTGACAGATAAATTCGACATAGATGTAACTGACAGTACTACCAACCTAAAAAAAAGAAAAATTCTCCAAATGCTTCGACGCACACAGTTTAAATTCAAATGTCACCTTATTTTTTGGACATAATATGTATTTCTGCAATAGGTCTTTGTCAAATAATATTATTTTTAACTTTAACTTGATTTACATAGTATAAAATAAACGTATAGAATTATATATTACAATTAAACGATAGAAAAAAGTCATCTAGGTATATATGTTTAGGTCTATAAGTAGAGTTACAATTGTTACTCGTTACGTTAAGATAATCATCATAAATCAACACTTAATATGCTCACATTCCGCTGCGTATATTTGAATTCAATGTGGAAGGCTGCGAGCTGTCTCGCGGATTAATTTTTGGTCTGTTATAGGTGTTTTCTTCACCGGAGACTCGGTCAGAAATATAAATTGACAAAGCTGTTTTTCCTATTTTTTTTAACTTAATTTCAATATACAAGTATATTAATACAGTAAATAAATCTAAACAAGTTTCTGTCAGTTTTCCTTAATTGAGTTTAATGTTATGAATTCAGCAGTAGAATATAAATTACATTTATTCTATCCCTATTTGAATAAACATTATTCTGTACTATGAGATCGAAAATAAATGTACCTAGCACTATACATAACTTTCAGGACAAAACCATTTTACTTCCGCGACAGAATACAAAAGTCAAATGTAAACAACCTCTTTACATACGAACTGTACTATATAATTTGAAGATTGTTTCGATTGCTGCCGTATAAAACCGGTACACTTAAAAGAGAACTACGAATATCTTGGTCTAGATACAGTTAGGGATGTGGCATTCTTTGTAAAAATTTAATTATTCATTTATCGATTAAATTGATATGGTCTTTTTTAAACAATAATAATTATTTTCTTCACGACCCAAACATTTGGGTTTTATAAACATAATGGCCTATGGGTGTTCTATTTTTTTCTTATGTTACCTTAGTGGTAAATAATAAAAATATTTTTTTTAAGTAATAAAATTGTATTTTTATTGAATTACATTTTTTTCATACTTCGATCGATCATTTTTTCACATCTCTAGGGACTGCTGGTGATATTGTATCGTTTTAGAATTAACAAGTGCACGCTCAGAGCGTATTTAGGAAGCGGATCTCTTTATCATTCGATCTGTTTAAATCACAATAATTGTAGACACTTCCTAAATAAATTCACGTGCGACCATACCTACCTAATCCGGATACAAATTGCTCTTACAACTTGTGATTGATTCTTATGCGTCTTTGTACACATTTCCGCATATGAAATCATTCCTCGTAATATTCTAGTTCGTTGGGATTTTTAACAAACAGGATTTACTAGTTTTTTGTTTTTATTGCTATTTTTATTACAGTTAGGTTATAAAAAATAATAGTATTCATATATGTATATTATAAAGATATAAGACTCTGTAAATGTACCTCCACCTACTAAATATTCTTTATTTATTAATCAGAAATAAATTGTTTTATTTAAGTTATATATTTTAGATAATAACTTAAATAAAGCACATTGTATTTGATGTAAATAATTTGGTACGTGTGGAAGTTTTTCTAAAATACCAGGAAACATTACCTCATTTAAAATTAAATTAAAAAAGTAGCCTTTCCAAAAATTTTTATTTTTTGAGTTAAGCATGCGATATTTGAAACCGCATTAAAATCAGTTTTTAATTTGAAAGATTATAAAGACGAATTTAGAAACTCCTTTTTTTAGAAGGCATATGAGAAAATTGTGCACGACTCTTATTACTACATAGCATTAATAATATTGTAAAAAAGTTAGATACCTACTGCGAAAATTTAACACCACAACTGTTAACCCAGATGGGGTAGTCAGAGGCGTTGTCAACTGTCAGCATTATACTGAACGCCACATTTATAAGCTCACATTTAACAAAAGTTATATGTATAAGAAAGCGAGCCTATTACTCGGATTAATCTGTTTCTTAAGGGTATTGTAGAATTAGTTCAAAATATACATTGACACGTAAAAAAACATTTAACATTGATAAGCTGTTAATATATTATTAGTCACCTGATGTTAACGACTTGTAACTTGAAACAGTAGAAGCTGGATGCGAAATGTGTAGAGAAATGGAGTTCCTCGGGTTTTATATCAATCTAGAAGCACTCAGACAAACGAACCATGTCCCGGACAACAGGAGGTAGCGTTCCATTGTCTCGATACTGCTAATTTAATTTCGATAATACATTTCCAGAAAATGGACGCTATTTTCTTTAGAGAAAACAATTTAAATTGTAACTTAATTCTTTATTATTACAAGAGTTTGCTTCTTCTACCCCAACTTGTAAAGGACGAAATATAGAGTAAGAAAAATTAAAAGTGCCTGTATCGTTTTTATTTTACCTTTAATATTTTTATATTTTCTTTGCTTATCATAAATTGTAAAATCGTGGAAAAGCTATCTATTTGTTTGTTTAATTGTTTTGTCTGTTTATATGTAAATGTTTCACGTAAATATGACTGGAGGAAGTTGTTAAATATGTTTAGTCATACAGGATAAAGACAGTTGGGGAAAATCATACTCGCAAGGGCGCAATAATTTATTTTAGTGAAAGTTTTTAATACAACATTCTACACTAATGTTTCTATTGGAGCGGGAATTGAACCCGCAATTTTTTATAAAAGGCAGTGTGTCCGATAGACTACAAAAATGGTCACAGATACGTATGCGTAATGTATCATACTGTTGTGAGAGTAATCTGTATCATTTTCTCAATACCAATCAAATATGAATGGAAATTAAACGCCTGCGTGAAAAAAATGTTAAATTGTCACAATAAAATAATAATATTTTTAGCATTGGTGTCTTTAAACAATACATTTTTAGATATATTTTAAGAGATAGATGTAACTTGTTAATATTGATAACAATATTTCAGAAATTACGATTTTATCGAAGACTATAGATTATTATAGGAGATTAGTATTTAATATGACCGACCTAGATGGTCGGATTGACATTGAATTGTAATTGTTCCGAACACCATGGGTTCAGATTCGTGGCCTCAGCTAGTTAGCTAATTGAAAAATAAGATGTATATGTAATAGGTAAACACCGTATTTTAGGTAAAAAGATGTTCCTATATGTAATTATATTTCTGTCAACACTCGGCATACTTCCATTTGTTTACGTTTTCACATAACTTTGATTTAACTTCGGCGTAGAATAGGCCAATCCGCATTAGGACTCCGCTTCGAGTGTTCACGTTTACAATAAACCCATATAACAACAAATTAGACAAACAGAATAATTGGACACTATTGGACAGTTTACTAATATATCAAAATACTAAAGGAAATAAATTTAGTAACGTAATCTTATCACATCATACATTAGTATGTATGATGATACTGCAGTGGTGAAGTGATACCCAATCATACTGCAATTGGTGATACCGATGCGAGGTCATGCTTCCGTACTCATTATAAACAGAAATACGGTTTTTATTGAAGATAAAGCATGATTTTAGGTGTATGATGGATTTTACAGATATGTATAGAGAATAATGATTTATTTTACTTTATATACAGTTATACATGTATAATAAATTATTATGGCTATACCGTTATATATCTAAAAACATACGCAAAAGAGCTGTGAAGAAAAGTGGCAACCGTCGCCTACATACATGAAAAGCACTACTAGCATTATGGCATCGTGTGGTGGCCTCGTGCGTTGCTATTCCGACAGACTAGAAATCATGAATGTACCTACCCCTAATTTCAGAGGCATCTCTCGCCCTCTCACTGAAACGGTTTACAAGCTATTTCGCGGCTAGCACCGTGGCATAACATGTGAACTAGATGGCGCTGGGACAAAAGTAAAACCCGCTAATGTTTCGTGTTAACAGAACTATGTAAGCTGTATGCATTAAATTTTAAATCACACGAGAAGGGATCAAACTCTCTTTATATATAATTTTTGAATCACCGGTGTTTTATTTTATTAAGAACCGGTGAATATTAGAATTCTGTTGCGCTATGGTATTACTCTAGCCAGTAATGTCTATATTACTGCTGTAAAAGTAACGACAAAAGAAGTACAGGTATGTATTAGTTACCATTACAAAACCAAGCAACAATACGACTTTTTTTATGTAAAATATCAAACTAATTGACATGCCTTCTGATGGTAAATGGTAATCGTTGCCTATATACATTCTTTTTGTTCTTTCTGTTCATTTTATATTCAATCAGTAAGTGTACTATAATCTGATAGGTTGGTAAATGACATGCTTATATACATGAATGGCAAAACAAACATTGCATTAATCTGATAGGAATAATATGAGTAAATGACATGCTTAATACATGAAGCAAAAACTTTATACCCTTTTTATACGAAATACTTTATAGTAGTACGTTTCGCACACTTATTGGTATAGAGAAGGAGAGCAGAATGTTAATATTTTTTTATTTATGCGTAATAATACTTTAAATTAATAACAAAAACAAATGTTTGTATGCTAAGAAGAATGTAATCCGCGATCAACTGAAGTAAAGCAGTGTGCTGAATAGACCAACGAGATCACCGAAGTTGCAAAGCTTATAACGCCTGAAGCAGAGGTAGTCATGTAGATGTCTTTTTAAAAGTCTACCTCAATATATATTCCAGATGAATGCGTTAGCATATTAGCATCTTAGACCAGCGTAGTAGCAACGTATGAGACTTTTTAATGGACGATTAGGGAATAGTATAATTAGCATTTATACTAAAAGTTTCTTGATTTTTATCGTACACACTTTAACACAATTTTCAAATCTACCTGTACATTAAACTAAGTTAAAACTTAATTGCAAACAATATTACAATTAATTATTTAGTCTCAATTAATGTTGTCATAAAGATCTGTATATTTATATTTCTACATAGAAATGCTAAATTCTGTACTGTGAAATAAATTATCTCTCATTAAAATTAATGAAAACAGGAATATATTTCAGACTATATATTTTAATACTGCAAATGATAACTATGTTAAATAAGTGTAGCGATTGGGAGACTTTATACCAATTTATTTTTAAATTTAGATGTCCATTGATAAGACGACAGACCGTCGTACACGGCGGTCCGTACTTACGAATCCTAGGGGTCCGCGGATAATAGGTTAATATTGATTAAAAACAGTAATATAATAACAATGTTTATTTTACTAAATATAACTTTAAACTATAAATTTTCAACTTCACAGACAATCGGAACTTAAAACTACATTCCCAACAGTTACACTTGATAGAGTTCTGAAACTGGAAACCAATCAAATCGCTCTGGTCAAAACCGCAAGATATACGACGTTGAAACTGCTACGGGTCGAAACTCAATCTGATACTACATCAATTCAGTTACAATATGAACGTGTCACTGAAGATTTAACATGGATTTGGGTTAAGTACTGAATTTATTATTAGCTACAATAGTTAGACAGCCAGAGAATAACTTTACTGTACTGATAAATATAGATAAAATAATTACAGAGTGTTTATAATAATAGCGAAAGAATCTGGTGAAAAATATTACATAATAGGATTTGCGTTATCGTATACTTCGCCGATGTAAATATACAAATTTTTAATAGGTATTCACTGCACACGAGAGGCCTATTATATTTAAAAAATTATAATAATCCTAACATGATATGTATAAAACGGGATTTATAAACCTCAGGCTACATTAATCTTGCATTTTCTATTACTAAATACAAGAAACAGCCTTACTAAATACATACATATATTTGAGTATAGCATAAAAAAAAAGCAGAATTATACCATATATACACAGATGTACCTCTCTGTTCTGTACTGGAAGGTATATAAGAATATATATTATTACGAAAATAATGTGTGTTAGAATTTTTGTCCCTATAACTGTATGTGTGTAGGTACGTCTCGGAAACGGCTCAACCGATTTAGCTGCGATTTCCACTATTGCATTGTGTGGAAATTTAATGCTGTTTTCTATAGGTAGACAAAAAAGTGATAAATTAGTATTAGTCCGAATACCATATCGTCCCGTGGATTGTGATATTTGGACTCAAGGATATAAGGAGTCAAGAGGTCAGATAGTTTGATACATTAGTAAATTTATTATATAAAATTTTGAAGCATTTCGTTTTGATAAATTCGTCCTTGTGTTCAAATGTTAGTTCTCGACATTCGGTATTTCATCAGCCATGCTTGCGAGAATCAGATTTTTATCAGTGCCTTGAGGTCTCTTAGGTTCTAGGGCGGATCTCATTTCCAATGCTCGAATATCTGTTTCTAAAGATTGGTTCTTGTCGTTCAAATCTATTGCAATCTTGATAGAGGTAGCTTCTAGCGCGTTGTAAGTAGCTCTGATAACAAAATAAACTATTTTAGTACATTAAAGAAATTCAAATGTAAAAACAGTTTCATTAAATATTTTACGAGTTTTGTTATAATATAAATCATTATAATAGCTTATTATTTTTATTTTTTTTCTGTGTGTAAAAAACAAAAATAAATAAATATCAATATTATTAAAATATTCCTTATCTCTTACGCCTTGGACATATTTTTACGTGTTCCGGTTTTTAAGCAGAACACATAATGTCCAAGTAGAGATTTACTTCTCTGGCCCACTTCTTTAAGTCGCATTGAAAACTTAACCTATGACAGAATACCTACTACCTACTTGGCTCGACGCCAGTTCCTAATATATTATTTTCGCCAATTATAAGTGGACTCAATATATAAGTTCTGGAGAACTATTACAAACACATGTAAAGTATGATAGTCTCGGTAGTCAAGCAGTTTAGTCACTCCCTTACTTTGTGATGGTTGATTCCTATCCAGTTGCTCGAATTTGTTATTCGAATTCTCGTATAATGCAAACACTTGTATTCGTCAGCATGATTGATTGTATATGGACTGGCTGTTTTCTATATATATAAAATGAATATATAACAAAAAAGTCACTAAAAGTACAAACCAGATTTTTACGCGTTTATTATCCATCTATAGAGCTTGTTTAGAGGACTCTTTATAATTCGTAAATTAATTGAAGTACCCATGCGTAGCTAGGGTAATATAATAATAAAACGTTAATTACTTAGCGCAGTCCCGCTTATCCTGCAACTGTCGGATAGTCTCTCTGAGATTTCGGACTTCCTCCTTCAGACCTATATCGGCTTCATCACCAGCTAGCTCAATGCCGGGTCTGTATCCACGGGTTTCTAAGCGGGTCTCCGCCACTTTCAGCGCGTTAACCTTGTCAGCGAATTGTTCACCTATTGTTTTTAATTCAGTATTCAGCTTGTCCATGTTTTCTTCCATCTGTTAAATTAAATACAATAAAATAGTATATTGAATATACTAGGGGGATGGCGATGGTTAATAGTGTAGATTTAAGACTCCAAATGCTAGAAATGTTTCCTGTCTGTTTGACCTCGACACGGTTCCCCATACAACAATTGTTCATAGTTCATTCAGTCAGTTACCCCATTGTGCCATATTCCTCCTGAATTTGACACGATGGGGTAACTGACCCGACCTCATGCCTCATGCCTCATCACCTTATCTTATCATTCTTCACTGGTACCACTTAAAACAATATATGTATACTAATTGACTGTCATAATTTAATATATTTCACACCATAATTCATTACGATACGAATATTATAAGGGGGTTTAATAATGGGGGCCCCTAAACCCTATTACTAATAATTCCACCCGCCCCTTATGGTAAAACTTTTTGGTTATTTATTTAAATGGGATTAAAAATTATTTTTAATTACTATGGATTTGATAAGACATTGTAAATAACGATATTAATTCGAAAATTCGAACAAGTGTAAGTTTTTAGGTAGTTACCTACTAAAAATAGCACGAGTCTGAAAGTGGTGGCCCTTGGAACAGGATACGAGGCTACTTCCGAGTCAGCCATTATACTATCATTATGATATTAATATTTAATTATATGACTTGAAATCTTGACTAGCGTAAATACACATAATGTCGGATAAGTATTTTTCCCACAATTTATTATGTTGCATAAATAGTTAATCTATTTACGCAACATAAGAAAGAAGTTTGAGATTAAACTCACACGCTCATGGGAAAGTGAGTTCGTATGGTTGTTACCTATTTACAACTGAACAGCTGAAGTATGCGAAGGGTATTTGACATGCATAGGTATAGATGTAACACGAGGACGCACATAGACTTCCAGACACTGACACTGACAGATCTTTTACCTCTATTATAATAAAAGTTACCGTTAGCCGTTAGAACTAACGGGTAAGAAATAAAACTTCTATACAATACAACATTTTTTTTTAAACATATACATTTTAATTTTGATAAGAATAGGATTATAAGAAAATCACGGGAACGTTTTGTTTATTATAGTGTTCCCAATATTTAAGTAGTGTTACAAACGCCATGATCATGGGTTATATCCTGTGTATGTTAATAATAATAAATAAAACGTGGTAAGTTGCCGTGTTTTTCTTAATTTCATAAATCAATCGTACATTTTTAAAAATGATAAGAGTCATTATTATACGTAAATTAATACACAAGTAATGAAATAAATTAATACATATCTTGTAAAATTGTATAATTATCTAGTATAAATAACCGTTACCTTCATTTTTTGCCATTCCAACTCATTCCTCGCTCTTTGCGTATCATATATACGTCTGCGTAGCATATAATTGGTAACATCAGTTTGTGCCCGAAGAGCGTTCCTTGCTCGTCCTCTCGCTACAAAGAGAGCTTCACGCAAACGCAACGTGTCTTGCAACTCATCCATTGCCATTTTCTTTATGGATTCGCATTTCTCAAGCCATTGGTTATATGTTATCATTCTAAAAAATTTTATCAAAAATTTACTGACGGTAAAAATTCAGAGTAGGAATACAAAAATTTATTCTTATCTAGAAAATATTCATGGAACAATGATTTAAAAATATAAAAGACGTATAGGAACATTGAAACCAATGACACTTATTCCTAATTTCTATTTGTGTACTCTTTACTTTTAAAATGTAGAAAAGGATCAGTAAAAATCACCCCTTGGGTGATTATGATAGATAGTACCTAACATATTTTCATTATATTTAAAATTTTAGGATAGGCGTAGGTTTTATTTGCTTTTATAGTAAAGTAAAGATTTTAAGTAAACTGTCTGAGGTCGAATCTAAATTATCTTTTTATTTTGTACTGTAAAATGTACTGAATTGTGACTGAGTTGCTTTGCGGCTGAAATAGGTGGGACAGAGGTACCTACGTAGATGATTTTTTGCAAAGATAACTAATTATATCCCTATTTTTACATGCAAAAAATTGGGATTAAATTAATAAATCAATTCCATTATATTTTAATCTATCCATCTCTATAATTAGAAATGTATTTGGAGAGTAACATTAACGTTAACCATTATCACTTAACTGGGTGTAAAATGCAGAACTCTACACTATGATTCCATTTTGTGATAATTTTATAATTTAACCGTAGTTCGAGAATATTCTCGGGCGAAATAGTCAATTATTTCACAATTTAACTATCACCGCTTTTATTCGAGTACTACATATGAGTACGGTATATAAAATAATGCATATTAGAGGAAAGGATAGTCGGATAGGGATTAATAGCTCTATTGTTAAAAATATCATAATCATTATCATTCTACCTGGTCGATCTCTACGCGGTCTCTCTAGAAACCTTCGTGATAAATTCCTGTTGATAATATTTCTGATAAGGACAGGATCCTGAACTGACTTAATTTAATTCTCATTACATCATCTTACACTGGTTCCCCATGTACCGTTATCAGATGTGAGTGAAAAAAATTGTCAACACACTTAGCTAATGCCGGTGTACTATATATATAAAGATCTGTATCTTAAAATAATAAACCACTCTTAAAGTATATTGAGGAGAGCAGGTGTACTCAATGTGAATTTGATTGCATTAAAGAAAATGGAGTGTCGAAAAACTTCCGTCGACTTAACTAACTTTTCATAACAACAATATATAACAAAATGTTTATTTGCAGACGACAGCTTACTCATTTAGGCTTTTATGTATAATATAATGGCAGTTTAGAAACTTATACTGCTTTGCCAATGAGTGGTACATTAGAAAAACATATGACTACTCCAAAACAGGAGCGAAGGAAAAACATATATTTATCATGGACTTAAGATCTATTATAGCTGTAAAACGCATTTTTAAATTTTGACTATTAGACAAATACATTGTTTATTAGTTTTATAAACAATACTCCAACCTATTAATATTTGTTTTACTTCTTTTTGCCTTTTATACAGCACCTTACGTTTTATAATTTATAATGAGAGGCAGGAAGTTTTCATTTTTCTATAACCAGTATACAATAAAAATAATGTCATAGAATAAAATTATTCCTACTTACTATAGTATATCTATGTACTTCAAGAGTAACATATTTTTTCAGTCAACCACCATAGTCCCTTGCGTTAATAGAAATTTTTTATCACGTTTAAAAAAAATGTGGGATAACCTCCTTAATTTATGGCCTGTTTGTCATAATCTTGTTGGCACACAGTCTAATAATTATGTTATTTAATTGCCCGTGTATTTACTATTTTTAAATATTTATACCCTTGTTCGTTTTTCTAAAATCAGCGCCGTATTAAAATTGCACAAGAAACTAATAATTTATAAATCCGGAAAGTTCGAGAGTTGGTTAATATCGAATTAAATATTAAACTGGAACATTTAAAATCTTGAAAGTACCTTTTCGGATTCTTCAACGAATCAGTTTTGTACGTGATGTTGGCGCAATCCTTGTCCAAATTGAGCATGTCTTTGTCGATTTGCAGAGCTTCGTTTTTGTCATTCAAGTCTAGTTGGAGTTTGAATTTAACCACTTCCAACTTGTTAATCTTCTCCCACGCTGATTGACATCGGTCAATTAACATTTTCTTGTTACTTTCCGTTACGCATAACTCCTGGGAAAAAATTTTTGTACAATTAAGGTGTTTCAGTAACAAATATCCTAATACATTTACCATTTATAATTATGACTATTGACTGAATTATTACTTTACTAATATAGTTAATTAATATAATCTGGTTTTATCACGATAATTTTTACGGTAAATAAAGGTTATATTATTATTCACCTTTCTAGACGTTTCGACTAAATTACACTAATCGTACAAGAAAATAGAAAATGATAGAAAACACGCGACAGAAATAATAAAAACCTCAATCAACCGGAAAGATGGCTTAAAGTTATCTTCTGAGTGGAAACTATTGACAAATAAGTTCAAAGTTCTATAATATCGGTCAATTAGTGTATGGATACCGTGAGTGTTATGTCGGGATTTTTGTTAGATAATTTAGTGTATCGCTGTACGCTAGAGAGTTTGTGATCATGGCTAGTGCAAACGACATGAGAAATAAATACCTTTCTTTACCATAAAATTAATATAAACGAGATATGACCAGATTAACTCGAATAATAAGTTAAAAAAGGACTAGGGTTATTACTTTTTTCAGCTCAGTATCAGCAAGGTCGTAAGTCAACTCTGTACTTCTTCTCCCATCTCTATTTGATAAACATTCAGAACAGACTAGAAGAGGCATATTTAGTAGCTCCAATTCTCTTTCAGTAGAAGCCTTTTCTTCTTTCAGGGCCGCCATCTCTCTGTCTAAGCGTTCGAGAAGCTCTTGTAGTGTTGACTTCCATTGTTCAATTTCATAGATTCTGTGGCATACAATCATTATTAATTAATTAATAACATACCTAATATACATATAATACACATGTTCACTTACAAGTTGAAATAAATGAATAATTGTGGTAAATAAGGATCCGGAAATTATCAATGTATTATGTATGAAAACGACTACAAAAATCATAACTATAATTAAATAATTAATTTTAACATATAAACTTGTATATTTAATAATAGTAAGCTAGGATTTTATTAATATTTTTAATACAATAGGTAAGTTATGGTTATACAAATCCATAAATTAATTTAATCAAAACCTTTCAAATAAAATTATTAATTATAAAAATATTCAGATTTTGAAAGGAATTCAAGTGTTATTTACACCGAAAAGCAATACGATTGAATATAGTAAAACACTAGTATACCTTGCTCTAAGTCGATTGTTGTTATGGTAGCTATCCCAGTCGGTCTTGATCCGAGTTTCATTCCGGAGTTGTTGGGCAGAGTAACGTAGATCAAATGCATCTGCTCTTCTAGTATCCGACGTTACCTGTTGATAAGATGAGAATTGTTATTGGATATTGGTTTTAAACTTGAAACACTGGCTCTACAGAATAAGGTACAATTTTCATTAATTAGCTTTTTGTTTAATACATATAACATGGTATTATCCTATTTTAGATTATAAAGACTCTAGAAAAAGCATTATCCATTTCCTACATAAATTAGTCATCCATCCTTAGTTGTCTTTGTTTTTTACTTTTACTTTTTAATAATTAAAGATTAAAATTTTTGGCCTTTATTAGATTTTAGATATTACTATATTACTTTGCTAGCAATGTATTATATTTGTTTATGTTTAATATGTGTGCATTCTGGTTACTTTCTACTGAAAAAGTCATAGCGAGTTAATCTAACTGATTTCTACGGGAGCAACATCATTATATGGAATATGTGGTCATTCCTCAGACTGTGTATAAATACAATTAAAAAGTACCTGTACAGCAATAATGTATTCGTTTGTATTAAATTCTACATATAGATGGGTATTCTTTTCTATAAAATTAAATACAAATAGAAAGTACCTTATCGAAATCACTATAATACCGACCCGAGTGTTGTTAGTTACTAGTATTTTGTGAACTGAATAAGTATTGCCATTTTGAGAGTAAATGGTAACAGTATCTTTAAGACATTTCGAGGATATTGGCCGTTTCTTCGGCGAAGCGGCGTATTGGAAAACGTTGATTTTTAATATTATTAAGTACGCGTTCTATCTATAATATAACAATGAATGTATGTATATTTGTCCTCTATGTGGTTTTAAACAACTGATCAGATTATAATAACACTTCATTTGAGAAAACATGAGTTTTTGAAAATATAACAATCCTAATGTTTTAATTTGTGTTCAATAAAGAGATAAAGAGTTAATAAAGAGATATATATTTTGTACTACAAATTGTTAAAGAGTAATTTCATATTATACATCAACTTTTATATGATATTGCATGCCGGTTAGAGACAGTTTACAAATAGTATAGATAAATTAAAGTTAATTTTATTCTAATTAAACAATTCAAATGAAGTAGTAATTCTTTATTATTTTCTAGAACATTCAAACAATGTATTTGACGTTCCACTAGAGTCGAAATCGTTCGAATGAATATTTACGATGCAGTATTTGAATAAAATTTACATCCACTGCAAAAGACAATGTTATTCAAAGATATCAAAACGAACTGTGCATTTTGTATACCCCGCTTACAACGTAATGTATGTATTTGCTTGGTCGTTTTTACTCCTACGAGTAATTGACAAGCAGAAATTTGTAGCTATACAACGTAATATTACTTTGAAGGAAGGAAATAGAGTTCGCATCAATACAATCGACTTGTGGTTACAAATTGTAATAAATAATTTAATTATTATATCTATTTAACTTTATCAGAACAAATTTAATTTAAATTATAACATCTTATCTATAAAATAACTAATAAATCGTGAAGATATTTAGTTATAATAGTACTTATATTCATTTAGGAAATTGTTTAAACCCTCACGTGTTTGCTATAATATTTTACAGCAAACACAATATTGATGTGATAAAATATTTTAATATATGTATTTTTTGTTACATACGATATGATTATGTGGCAAATTACCATATTTATTACAGAGAACTTAATTAACGAAGCTTTTGATTTCAGTAATCTAACGACAGTATAAATCAACTAACTTTCTAGCGAAAGCAGAGTTTCCTAGTGTTAACTGTGCTTACAAATGTCCTTAGACGAGTTACGACTATGCCGTAGAATAAATTACAATATATGTAGAAAAATGGTAGGGATCCATTGTTCTTCTAATCCCACTAACATTGTAAATATGGAAGTTTGTGTATTTGGTTGTTTGTTACTCAAGCGTTAAAAGGTAAGGACGAATTTGAATTTTGATTTAATTTGAAGAACCTCGAATCACATCACATAACAGATAATGACAGCGTCACAAAATATAATATGAATGTCATGACTAAAAACTAGAAGTTAACAAAATAAAATGTCAATTAATTTATAAGACAGCACAATACAACGGAAGGGTATACAGTCATTAAATTTATAACCTATAGATGCCAAATACGTGTCAGAAATTACAAAAACTCGAACTGTCATTATTCAAAGCGGAAACTGTGACCAGAGTTTGGTGATATTCGAATCTTTCCACGATAGGCTTACCAGGCAATTTCGTGGACTCGGGAAGGCACATAAAACTTTTCTAATTTGCCAGCGAAATCAAGCCAGCTCGTAAAATTATTAGGGAACCATATCGGCTAGTGTTTATAATATTTTAAAGTAAATCTAATAGAATTTATTCTTTGACAACTAGTTATCACGATTTTCTCTTTTGAAAACTGGTTATGAAGTAGGTTGTTTTTTTTTTATATGACCGTAATAGCAAAAAAGGTGGTGATTAATTGATAGTAACACCTACAGCATCAAGGAAATAATAGCGTTGGGAAAATCATAGACGATGTTACCAAGTCGGTGGAACCGCTGGAACGATTTCTGAAAACTTAACACTTAGAGAACTTTGTACAGAGAAGTCGTTTGTTGTAGATACCTATCAGCTATTTCTTACAAAACTATGTACTGATTTGAATAGTATAAAATATAACACAGAAATTACAAAGTACGATGAAAAGCATCCGTGCCTATCATCGTACTTTGTCGTTCTTTAAAAAAAAAACAGACCGCATAGAACTTTATTATTAAATATTATAGTTTAAAAAAGTTCATAACAAAATAATACTTTTGTAAACACTATAATGCTGCTAGAGACGGCTGTGTTTTACAGTTTCACCCGATTAAATTAGAGGTAAGTGCTGAAGGTACTAACACGCAGAAAACTTATAGAGCTACTGATAGACCTACTGCTGCCTGACAAATAGGACTTCAATTTCAAGGCACAGCTAGTGGTTTAAGCCTCGAGACAGGCCATCTTAATTTCTATTCCTATTTGAACAAGGGTTAATTGAAAGTGAAAAATTTACCTGCAAGCCGTAAAGACGTGCATCCCAGTCCGATAAGCTTAAATGCGGCAAAGGTTTTTCAAATGTTACAACAGACTGCATTGTGAAGAAAATGTAATATTAAAAATTAAATAGAATGAAATACAGTTGATACATATAAAAAAATATGACAGTAATATTATTTTTAAATACATAATAAAGTTTTTGTTAAATTTGCCAGTGTTTTTTTTATTGGAAACTGCAGTATTTAGACCGATAAAATTGTACTGTAATAATCTAAAAAATATATATTACTTTTAATATTTTTAGATATGTAATACATAGACAAAAAGTAAAATATTGCTTATTGAATATATGAAATATAAGATTGAAAATAGTAATTAGAAGAAATTAAAACATTTAAATTCTTGCAAATTAATATACTTTTTAAAGATTGCAATAACTTTTGAAACCTGCAAATTAGGTATCATAAATTTACTTTGCCGTATTTATCTCAGTTGCTTAAATTCGTGTTTCCTTTGACAAAGTATAAAAGTGTTTACACAAATTATCACATACGACCGTGCCTATAAGCAAATAAAGTAGAATTATCTCTGTACAGTCAGCCGACGTTTGGCAGCGACAAAATGTCCTAGTTCATTTTACGGGTGTCACTGTCGTCGTTGTAATTTCTTCTATACTACAGTCATACAGAGCAGATTGGTTAAATTTTACCGCTCGATATAACTTTGTACTTCGCTGAATGGGCCCCAGGCGTGTATGTTTCAAAGATTTTATGTACAGAAGAGAGTGATGTCTGAATGTACACATTACATGAGCCTGTAAACATTTTATAAAGTGACAGTTTGAAGTAAGTTTCCATGTAATGTGGTTATTTGTTAACCGTTGTTGTCAGTGGTTGAAATTCGAACACAATTAATTTAAATTATAAGTTATGATATTGTTAATTCAAATTACTGCTACACTATTTTTTTATATTGAGATTTATATATGTATATTGTGCGAGTTGTATTTCACTAATAACTAGTATATACATTGTAATAAATAAATTCATTCTGATTATGTTTGACATTAAGTAATAATGTAGATAATAATACTATTGAAGACAAAAAATATTAACGTATTCTCCTTTTGACCATAATCTTTAAAAATAAACAAAAGAGTATATGTACATGCATGTGTGTATCAAATACATGTGTAATGTTTTATAATGATATAATGTGTTTTTTATGCATAATTTTGATTTTTATTTGCGAAATTTGATACTCCTCCATCCACGCATATTTCGTATAAAGGGGTACAAAGATTGAGCTTCATTATTACTATATAGATAACGTTTTACAATGTAAATAGAATAATAGATGAGTGATAAAAGTCTACACATTAAATTAAAATTATCCATAAACAAGTAATAAACACAAATTTTCCCGTAAGAAAATAATTAAGCAATCTATGATTATGTTCTTTTTTTAATAAATGAAAATACACCGGGTATTTTCATTTATTAAAAAAACATATTAATGACCATCCGTGTCAATATAAGTGTGAACTTAAAACCAAAAATGGGCTAAACTATATAATAAATTTTCATCTGGAGCTCGTTATGCGAGTTACACTATCAGTGAATATGAGAGACCAAATTTATCATTGATTCACTTCATTAAAGTCCTTAAATAGAAGAAAGAATATATAGAATTTTTTAGTATAAAAATATATTTATAATTGTTCAGAGACTTACGTTTTTATTTTAATATAAAAATCTTAATCCGAAAATACATTCATTAAATTAACGTTGTCAGTCGAAAGAAATTTTATTATGACGTGAGATTAAGCATTGTCATATATAGAATTTTATCTTAAATTTATACCCTAAGGCATTGCCTGAGCCTGATAGTGGACTAAAAGATTAATGATCTTATAAAATTCTTATAAGATGAAAATACGTTCTTATCACCAAAACTTTTAAATTCTATATAGGCACATATAATAAAAATGTAACTCATCGCTATCTTTACAGGGAAAAT